AGAGCAGTCAGTATAAAAGAAAGAAACACCAGAGAAATCAAAGTGTGTAATTTCTACCAGTAGGGTAAAAAGGAAGATAACCAGACGCCTTGTCAGAAGGTGGTGGTGGTTGATCCGCCCAATCATAAAAGTCATCATCATCACTTTCATCCTCATCAGCATCATCATCATGGTGAGACGAGCTCCCATAGTCTAATGGTTCGTCATCGTCAGCAGCTGAAAGTCCAGGAGAGCTCACGGTCGTATCCACTTGTGTCAGCCGGCCAGTCGTGGGACTAGGAATAATAGTCCCCGAAGGTGGCAATAGCACAGAGGAAGCGGGAGACTGACTATCGTTAAGATTCACAGGTTCATCTGTCGCCAGTTCATCTGTAGGCAGTTTAACCCCTTCAGACGAAGATGTTGCAGGCAGTACCCCTGCAGGTGAAGAAGCAGCACCAGGAGTCTGATCTGGAAATGGTGAGATATCGTGATCCGTTGCAGGAGAAGCCCCCATATCCCCACTTGGGAATTCATCTCCACCCTCTGCCTGATCCAAGGGACAGTGAGGAGAAAATTCTTCGGAAAATGTAGATCCCCCAGGATGAGGATCGACGTGATCAGGGCGACTTGCAACAGATGACTCTTGCTCTTCCTCTCCACCAGCAGATTTGAAAGCATCCGCCATTAGCCTCTGAGCAGGAGGGTCTACCAGCAGCTTTCTACGAGTACGTTTCTCATATTGAGCTTCTTCTGCTTCAGAGAGAACCCTATTTCCATTTGCTTTTGCTCTCAGCTTCAGCAGCCTTAGGGCTTGCTACCGGGGCACTCTCTAGTCCTAATTCTCCTTCTCCTTCTTCAGCTGCATCTTCAAAATGTAAAAACTCGTCGATCCCCTTCAGACGAGACACACGACCACCTCCTTTCCGGGATGAATACATCTTCCTAATCGCACGAAGGCCTGAAGTGTACAGTTTATAATCTGGCATCGTAGAAGCTGTATGATACCAGTTACAGAAAGCCACGGAGAGAAGAGAATTAGGTGTTTTGTGGGGTAATCTGAAGGTAGCCCCAGTGCAACCTGCGGTGGAATAATACCAGGCTCGAGCTCCTTCGTATATGTTGCCCATAACTGAAAGCTGGCTCCTCGGATTCCCAACGTATAGTTGGTCGTATCCGAATTGGCGAGCAAACCGATACGGTTGATAGGGCTCAATTATACATTTGTCATTTTTCCTGAAGAGGAGATAACCAGGTCTAATATTTAACAGCCAGTGGAAAACTCCCCCGTCCAAACGGGTAAAACCATTAGGACCAGCGGTATCTTGGAATACCTGTCCATATCCTCCACCCTCAAAATCCGGGAAGCAGCGGAAGATGTCGTAGCTGAGGTCTCTCGACAAAATCTGACGGACCCTCACTATGTAAGTGCCTATCCAAGTAGCTTTTTCTAATCTCTGCACGAAAGGGATGAAGCCTTCATCCGTAGCAGAGGGAGCACTCATCAAATGTACACAATGCGAGACGTACCAAGCCATTAGATAAGTATACGGCAAGGGTACTCGAGGATTGGGAGTCACCAAGCTTTTCGTCCCTTCAGAATCTATCTCTTTCACTTGGATAAACTCGAGGCATAGTTCCCTCAAACCGTGTTGTAAACAGCACGTCATAGCGGAAAGTAGATTTATGGGTCTCCCATGTGCTAAGAGGACGGCCGGATAAGCTACTTCAATCATCACAGCATCTATTGGTCTGGTAGGAACCACACACCGCTTCAGCCACAGCATGAGAAAACCCGCTAATAATGCCATATCAGAGATGGGAGTGGCTGCCTGGTGATGGAAGCTCTCGAATTCAGTCTGTGCTGGGAAGTCATCTTCTATTCCCTCGCTGACATAGTGAACGGTGGCGTCATTGATCAGAGCCTGGATGGTCTCAGGGGTGCTCGCCTCCCGACGAGACACAGCGGCATTCTTGTCAGACAAATTTTGGAAAAGATACTCGGCCCAGGATAGCTGTTTGATACCACGTCCTCGTGCCCCCGTCAATTGGCCGCAGATTTGGAAATGACACATCACCTCCCATAGAGTGTCATATACCTCGGGGATGGTCTCCTTCAAGATCTTCAGCTCAGTTGACCCAGGGACAAACTCTTCATATGGTAAATCTCCGAAAGGAAGACCTGAGACATCGAACATTTCATGTAGGGCGAACCCTAATTCTCCTTCCGGTGTGAAAAATATACAAGTCTCTGGATTGTACCGCTCCAGAATGGCGAAGAAGTTATAAGGACTAAGAGCGATACCGTATTTAGTAGCCATAATAGGGCAACCAAGCCCGGATTGAGCTAATGGTCCCTTTAATTCTTCTAGCACGAATTCTATCATTCGTGCCCACCATCCTGCCTTGGTAGAATGTACCCATCCAGGAGCTCGGAACACTGCAGTTGGGAATTCTCCTTTGGCGGCCAAAAATCGTCGCATGAAGGTGTTAGCTGGGCTAGCTGTTTCTCCTAAGGGATATCCCCGTGAGAATAAGCAGGGTTCTAAGGCCGACACTTGTCGATTATAACCAACGGTATGTACGCCCTTGTGAGTCAGAACCCCAACAGCTACCCCATCTTGCTCTCTCACCAAGTCAATTCATGTGGCGGGGAACAGAGGCACATTGGTAGTAAGAGATGGGAAACATCCTGTGCATGTCAGGGAGGAAGAGACGACGATCTCCAATTTGTCTTAGCCACTTGTAATGGCCGCCATGCACAATCTCTTTGGAGATGGTGACACGATCCCCAAATAAAAAGGCTGGCTTGGCGAGTTTCTTGCGGGACCCAGTCTCAAACTTAGCGTCCGTAACTAAAACCCTGAGTACATCTATGCTTGGATCTGAGATCAGGGTGACACGATCTTTGTCAGTGTCCTGGAATATCGGGAGTTCTTGACGCAAATTGAATTGCAAGTTAAAATCCACACCGCCCTCACGCCCGAAATGGTGACGAAGATTGAGAGGTTCGCGGGTGTAAGGCACTGCAAAAGAAAGAAATATTCAATCAGTCAAATGAAGAGAGCTTTAGTTAAGCCTATAAGAAATCAAACGCACGGTTCAGATCTGGCGTTTAAAATTCGTCAACGCACAGGTCGAACTCTGCGTTAATCTCTCGAACGCACGATTCAGACCTGGCGTTTAAAATCCATCAACGCAGAGGTCGAACTCTGCGTTAATCTTTCGAACGCACAGTTCAGAC